GGGAGGATCTCACCATGGTGGGCGGGAGTCATGTGTTGGTCCACCACATGCGGGGGCCCACCATACATTTAACTCCTATTTTTATAATAAAAAAAAGAAAGTCCCACTCGATTCATTTGAAGGAGCAGGGGATAGTTTCTCGTTCCCTTAAATTTCAAGGTACCCTCAAGCCTTAATCTAAGTTTGATACCCCAACTTTCGTGACTAAGGGGTGAGCCGAGAAGAAGAAACGGAGGATCTTGCCATCAGCTAGGAGATCTTGCTTGTGAGGAAGACCTCAGCGGGGGAGACCCCCAATTGCCTCCTCTTCGAGACTGAGGTCTTGAGGAGGAAGGACGCCTTTCAGGTTAGGTCGAGGATGGTCCAGTGCCTACGGTGGCATCAGTATGGTCTCACCAAAGCCAAATGCACCATGCTATGACTTACGCAGCCGTCGCGGCTGAAAGATCTAGGCCATCCGCGCCTCCAACCGCTCCTGATTCCCATGTCCAAGCCCCTCAAGAGGCCTCAAAGCTGGAAAAAGATATATAAGATACATTAGTTAACTCCTATTCTTCCTCCAATGTAGAAGAAGCAGGAGAGTCTGCCATGGAGGCCATGGAGGAGGCTAGGTGGCTAGGAGGCAAGGTGGAGGATCGACGGTGACATCTATATTGCAAAATGAATGGGATTCGAGCTGAGTGGAATCCTCTAGTTACACACTCTATACTCTATGGTTCTTTGCCCAGGGAAAGGAAAGAAGGATTCAAACTTGTGGATATTCCGACGAGCATGAACGGGTGGACTGTCCCCTAGGATGTACTAAAATTAGTACATTCAGTGCAATATGTATATTTCTTGGCCGTCGTTCTTGACCCAGTACTGGGGTGGGAGTGAGCGATCCAATAAGCGTGATCTAGAAACAGGAGGAAAGGATGGAAGGATGGAAGTCAGAGAGGGAGGGAGAGAGAAAGGGAGGGAAGGAAAGAAGGAGGGAGAAAGGCAGGAGGGAGAGAAAGGCTGAGTGGAGACAGAAGCGCTAAATCAGCCATCTCAGAAACGTTTCAGTTTTCCAAGCAATTAAGTGTGGCGGTGACGTCTTCCTACATGAGCAAGGAACAAGAATCCTCTCCTCGATAACCACACGTTCATGACATTTGACGAGTAGAGAACATTTGGGGGTTAAACTTCTCAGGAAGAACAGAAGTCTAACTGGACCCCCATTGGAACGATAGGGAACGCATTTGGCTTAGGAAAATGTACAGGGTGGGCCAAAAGAAAGGTTACACTTAGAGTTCCATGTTAAAATAGCAATAAAAATATCTATTGAAATTACAATTTATTGAATTAACAATACTGTATATTGAAATACCAAAGTTCAAAGTAAATTTTCCAATACGTTACCATCACATTCCAAACATTTTCCCATGCGATTGGGCACGGACATGCAGACTCTTCTACACGAATTGTTGTTAAGTGTTACCTTACTTTTGGCCCATCTTTTGTATTAGCGAGTCTGAACGTAATTTTTTGGATTGAGACAGCAGGGACGAGGAATTCTTAGCCTCAAAATGCATCCAAAGCGAGCGATAACGTCTCGCTCGAACGATGCACGCCTCCGTCGTCTGCATGAAGGCTATGCGCATGCGCAGCGATGGGTTCGAGTACCGTGGAAACTAATTAACTGGAACTAAAAAGGACCGGACAAAATCGTTTCGAGTCATCCGAAGTTCGACTTGAACATGAATTACCTCTGCCCACAGGAAAAATATCTCTGGTTTAGGGATATAAGCAAAGGGCGATTTTTCTACACGAATCCGATTGCAAGAAGCGATGACCAACTTAATGACATTACCATTGGCTCTTTTTCATTTCTGCGGAAATTTTCATACTCAATGAGCGAAATTCATTTATCGCAACGTCTTTAAACGGATGAAAAGGGACAGCCGCCGACCCTCACGAGAAGCTTTGTTTCGAAATTCATAACTCTGAACTCGGGAGAGTCTCTCCTATAAAATGGTCTCGTTACATTTTGCATTTTCCCCCTCGAACGGGAGTAAAAAGCCAAGATGCGATGGGCACAATGAAGAAGTGCCTATTATTGGCGATTACTTTCCCGAAAAACGGTCCAAACCATTCTCACGAAACTTGGCGTGGGATGGGATCGGGTGTTCGCAAAAATCGGTCGGGCATGAAAAAAAAATGAAAAAAAAAGTCTCCTGACTTTCGAAGCTGGAATCGCCGCGTTCGAACGGAAACGAAAAATAAATGACTTTTTCAGCTTTTGAACGGATGAAATATTTATGGAATCCGTCGAGAGTTTCGGATGCAATCATCTCTTCAAACATTGTTCTTCGATTGCCATTTAGCGGCGACTCGGGGCAAAAGCGATCCATCGATTTCCCTTCACTCATCGCATTAAAATGGATGAAATGTCTTAACACAATTAAACTAAGACAAGCGAATAGAAGTATTCGATAAGTAGTTCATACCGAAAGAAAGCATTTCCCAAACGTCACTAAGGAATAATCATTTAACGTTTAGTACTGCGTACTTCCATTAAGTACGATGCGCATCTTTTATTTATATTCCTGTGAGATTAGATTTAGTACTGCAACATCGTGTCCAGCACTTCCCACGGGGCGTGTCGCAATACAGGACGATTTCAGTTTCGGAATTCTAACAGGTGACGTGGGATGGAGAGACGTGGAAGAGAGACCTTCCCTTTTGTATCAAAATACAGGTGCAAATGACGTTTGAGTTCAGTTTGTTTTCGACAGCGCTTTGCAGCAGACCAAATCGATCATCCTGTGCGGAATCAGACTTGAAATGCTTCGGATCGATGGGAAGCTTGGCAGGAGATAAAAGTAGGTTTAGGGTGGGGATTCAGAACTTGCAGAACTGTAGTTTCACTTCGAACCTTTGGTTTGTCACGTGGATTTATGCAGTATACAGGAGAATCTCATTCGTTCGAAATAGAGGGGATCAAAAGTACCGACTTCGAAATAAACGGGTTCGAATTAGCCGGTTTGGCCATTGTTATTTTGTATTACTGTACTATTCAGCCGGATTTAGTACAGCAATAATAATAATAATAATAAATTCGCGTGTTTTGCGGCTCGTATTCTTCTTCTTTAATAGGTTTCATGGCCACCTTCTGGCAGCTTTTCAATGGAATGTGGATAGAGGTGAAAGCGGCATGCCGAATTTTTTTTTGCGATGTCGGTCTTCAGTTTTTCTTTCTTGTCCACTTAACAATTAACTTCCAACTTCTCTGAAATGCTTAACTCGTTGTACTTCCTCTTGTTCGTCATGGCACATTCACCCTGTTTCACTCACAACAGAGGGAGAGACTGTGCTGCCAAAATGCGAAGTTTCTTGACTGAAGGTCGTACAAGGTGTGAAGGAGATTGGTAAGGGTAGAGGGGGAAATTAAGTGAAAGGGAGCATTAGTCTATATTTAGAATTCTTCTGAATAGAAAAATGAAGTTTCCAAGGCAATTAGCTGGCTTGACAGTCATTTAGGGTACGAAGTTTGAGACAGGCCATCTGTAGGTCGGAGGGAAAAGTGCCCTTCGAAGTAAATGAACACGTTTCCGAGTTTATAGCTCATGGGACCAGAAAATGCCTTCGAATCTCATAGTATCCGTATCTCGAATTATCCATATTATAAAACATACAAATCTCTATCCTCGTTCTCGGACGGGGAACGTTCGTGACTTCGAAGTTGCTGATACTTCAAACTGTCCGATATCGAATTAACGAGGTTTTCCTGTATCATGTCACGCGAGTAAGGAACCATTAAAGGTTTGGAGTCGAACTGAAAAAGGCACATTTTCTTTCCAAAGTATTATTTTTTTTTACACTCGGAAGCTCATGGAGGATGCCATTCCGTTTCATAATCCTTCGCAGGAACGTTTAAATGTAAATGGACATAAGAGGAATCACGTGGTGAAACTTCAATCCTTTTATAGTAGCATCTAACATTGAAACAACATTGATTCAATGTCGATTAAATGTTAGCTGCTACTTGGATTTTTATCCCGATTTGTCATATTAAAAATTACATTTCAGGGAGGGTGGTGAGGAAGCCCATGTTGGACGGGAGGATCGTCGGAGGGGAAGATGCGGAAGAGGGAGAAATCCCGTGGCAGGTCTCACTGGAGACCTTTGGCAGCCACGTTTGCGGAGGATTCATCCTCGATGAGATGAACGTCATCACTGCAGCCCATTGCTGCGATGCTGTCTCCTCCTTCACCGTATGAATCTCTTCATTCCACAATCATTATTCGAATATGTTACCATTTATTATCGTACCTTATTTTTTATGTTCTCATTTCCTTCGGACTGTTTCGAATTTCAAGAAAAGTTTCAAGAAGAGCTTACGACGGCTTGCGAATGTTGACTACATTGGATAGGATCATACATTTTCCAAAAAATGCAAGACCTTAAATGAAACACCTAGCATTCATGCAAAGGTACAGCGAAATTATGAAATTTCAATAAAGCAAAAACCGAAAAATTGAAAAAATAAGTGAAAATATCATATTAAATAAGTGTTTAAATAAGATATTATAAAGCTTTTAAACATCCTTTTCTTGGAAATGATCAGAAAATAAGATAGACGCTTTTTGTTTTCGAAACTTGAGTCCTTTTCTTGGGCATTACAGGTTGTGGCAGGAGAGTACGATCGTTTCCAAACCAGTGGGAATGAGGTTGAGGTCGATGTGGCAAGAATGATTCCGCATGAGGATTACAACGGGTCAGTGATTCTTAGAAATTCCAATGCCATATTAGACATTCATAAAAAATCCCAAACCCGTTCCACACGATGGATATGTATTTGGTGTGGCAATCCCACTCCCTCTCTTTCTGCCTCCTTCTTCTGGGCACTCGCCAATCCTTTCCCCACTATTTTGAATGTAGTCAACATTGGAAAGATTTTTAAGATGTCAATGATGAAGAATTACTGGAGGAATGCAACTGAGATCTGACTTCTACAGTAGAAAGCTTTAAACCTACTAACCAAATAAGTTTATTCACTTCATACTAGAGCCGTGCCGATGTATCAGCAACCCCCGATATCGGCCCCAGGCACCATCAGCCATCGGTAGATTTCTAAAGTGCCGACGCCGATGTCAAAAAAAGAATTTGTTGAACAAAGAAAAAGGAAAAAGAAAGGTTAACTTGGCAACTGATTCACTACTGCAATAATAAATAATAAATCACGCAGAGGGGTTCTCTTCTGGCACTGGCTATCATCTAATTTAGAGCAACAATTATTGACAGGAGATTCGGAGATGGAAGTAGAATAAGGCATCTTGGTTTTCATCAGATAATGCAAGCATCCCCTATGCGCTGAAAAGCAATATCGTATGACACAGTCATCCAGACGTTAAAAGCACAAAATGTCCTCCAAAACCGTAGATACCCAGGCTACACTCAATGTTTCTTTCCATTGTCTCCACATTCTCCCACTCCTACCTCCCATTTTTACACCCTCCCAACCCCATTCCGCTCCGTCCAAATCCAAAATCACTCCATTATCACCCTTTTCCACACCTGTCGAAGGGTATGGGATTTTTATGAGAGTAATGAGTGAGTTAGAGAAACACTTTATCATTTCTGATTCTTTAAACAGGTTTGATCTCACTGCCGACATCTGCCTCCTCCACCTGGAATCTCCATTGCCTTTCAATGGTTTCATTGGACCTGTAGCCATGCCCAAGCAGGGCGAAGACTGGATCGGTAGATTAAATACATTAATAAGTTAATAATAATAGTAATTAGGGTTATACCGATGTATCGGCAACCACCGGTATCGGCTACCGGTATGGTACGATCGGCCATCGACAGGTTTGTAAGTGGCCGGTGCCAACGTCCAAAGAAGAACGTGCAAAACGAAGAAAAATATATATACGTGAACGTGGAATGGTAACTGATTTTCAACGGCAACAGAAAAAAAATTTAAGACTGTCCGGATGCATCCATCGATGCATGAATATCATTTTCAATAATTGGATGCATGGTAGGTTATTTACCCGTCGCTAAGGTCACACCCCCCCCCCCCCTCCCCCTAATCACAGGCAAGAGATTATAGAAGACAGATAGAGGTCCACACTCCGATCCAGGCAAGAAACGACGGAAGTGAAAACTCCGCCCGAAACCCCTTCCCTCCCCCCCAAGGTGCATCGATGCACTAATGATATTTCAGGTCGACACTTCGATGTTTTCGAAACACCCAGCGTGACAGCCATAATAAAATTGAACGTGGCTTCATAATGTCTATTTGAAAAAAAATTTTTGTAAGATCCTTCATTGATATTTAACTACACGTCAAGATAGGCACCGGCACCAGTCGATAGGTATGAAATTATAATCGGCCATCGGCCAAATGTTGCATTCGGTATAGCCCTAATAATAATAATAGCTAATAACAGTAAGTTGTGCTCTATGATGAGGGTTATCTTTTACACCAATCAAATTTCTTCGCTTTGTCTTGACTTTATCAGGGGCATATCGAGGACTAAGGTCTACGGACTGTAAACTCGTATTCATTGGGAAAAAATTAACAATTTTTTTCAAGATAAGGCTTGATAAATATTCAGGTCACATAGGCTCATCATGTTTGGTGCCGGGTAGTACCGTACAAAGCGAAATTATTTTAAATTTACTTCTTTTTTTTTCAAGAAGACGCATCACTTGAAAAGGTAGGACGAGCTCCTTCGAAATCTAACATTATCTGATACTTGACTCCTTTAAGATAATAGCTTTTAAAGATTTCATTAGTACCTTGATATGTAACTGCACATATCTTGAAGCTGAAATTTTAACTAATTGGTGACACCACTACTAGCAAGTTTGTTACGAGAAACCATTCAGGGTTTTTAAAGTACACCCTTAAGCATTTCAAGTGTGGTAAAACTTGTTAAGAGTGATTTATGCCAACATATGCGTCTCTGAACTTTACAAAGTTCGCAGCTTCCAATTTGGGTTCAGCAATGGTAGATTGCTATATTCGAATTATGCATGAAACATAAAAATTGAAAACTTCCTTCCCTTCCCCCCCTTCCTCCTCCCCTGGTTTCAAATCGACCTCAGAAAATTTCCCATCCTAAACACTCATTTGGCCGCGCGTGGAACGATTTTTTTCTGGTTGGGATTGCGGGAGGTGAATTGATGTCCGTGTCGGGTTGGGGATCAACATCGGAAGGAGGTTCCTTGTCGAACATCCTTCAAAAGGGTGACTTCGTCGTCGTGGCTGACGAGGAATGTGATGATTACTACGCCAGCTTCGGAGGCATCGACTTCGATTCGCATATCTGCGCCGGCAACATGCCAGAGGGTGGTATCGATTCCTGCCAGGTATGACATCTCTCGTTCGGTTTTAGCGAATCTCCTCTCTTAAAAAAAAAAAAAAAGTGAGAAGCTCGTTTTGCGAAGTTTCTGATCTCTGTTTGCACGTGTTAGCGAGAAGAATCTGTTGCAGGAAGGTCACGTGAAACTTCGCCATATTTTCCAAGAAAAAGTTGAACGACTAAAATAAATACTGCTCTATCTGCAAAAAATTTCCGAGAAATTCATGGTTTGGTTTCATGCCCTTCATCTGCTTTTATTGAACACAGACGTGTCTGGGATTCATGTCTGTGAGAAACTGGTCAATCAATAAACAACACTTTCCTTCGCTTATAAGAAGACAATCCCTTGAATGCTCTCTCTTTCCCTCTCTAACTTGAGAAACGAATATATTACGCATAAACCAAATTAATTTTCAGCCCTTGAATTGTGATCAACTTGGCATCTGTTGCGCTTCTGAGGAATTCCATGTGTGACTGTGCCTTCAAAGGAGACACAAAAGTCAACTCGTCTAATCATCGACCGCCGTTCATCCCGTCCTCTCGCGCAAGAAAAACAAAAAAAAAACTTCGGTGCTATTATTGCCACAGTTTGGACCAAAATAATTTATGCACTAGAAGAGAAAGCTAGAACTTACAAAAGTGCCGCAGAAGTTAGGCATTCGGTGCCCCAATTCTTCGGCGACATCCTCGGCAAGAAACGTTCCATTTGGCCTTTGCCATTTTGGTAAATGAGAGCCGAAAGTGAAAATCACTGACGCATAACACAGTCCAAAATCATTGGAAAATTCTGTACACGGAATACTTGCTTTAAGATCCAATCCATTCCATTTAAGGTCTTTCGTTCATTATTTATTCGATTGATTTCTTCGCGCTACCCCGTAACCCTTCGTTGGTTCATTCCTTTTAGATGAGATTTTCTTCCTCTCTTCAACATGTCGTCCCGTGCATCTCATCACACTTATTCACTTTCACAGGGTGACTCCGGCGGACCGATGTTCGAAACCAGCGGCAGGCGCATCACGATCGGAATCACGTCGTGGGGAGTCGGCTGCGCCCGACCTGAATTCCCTGGGGTCTACACTCAACTCGCCACTTACACGGATTGGGTGGAAGCGAATCGTCAACGATTTTGAATAAGAATTTAAATAAAGTTGTAGCTATGGGCGCATTTTTAATGTTTTCTATTCATATTTTTCCTTTTCATTTTAACAGCGCCCTGGAGTTCAGAGACTGACTTTTCCGATATACTCCAGAGGGACGCACAGATTGGACGGATTAAAAAAGGAAAAGGTTTCGTTCAGAAAAGAGATTTTTATAGCAGGATTGCGAACAAATACAAGGCATGGGAAAGAAGAAGACGAATAACTTAAATTTTTTCTATCTCGGCTCTTACAGAATTCACGAAACTTGCAATATGCAGAGAATTATATTTTTTCTATAGGGGTTATTCCATCGTGACTCATGTTACATAGGCACAATTTTTTTCAGAAATTAATTCCACCCTGCCTTCTGAATTTTCATTTTTAGATCGTCCCTGAAGACATAGCGATTGCAGGCATGTAGCATATGTTTGGTATAATAGTACTTTTTTTAATAGTTTTTCTGAGTGCGAAAAAATGGAGACGAGTGATTCATGTTACAACGAAGGGACACGATCTCCAAGAGTAGGTCTTCCGTAAATGAATCCTGCTTTATTTGTAATCGGACTAGAAGCCTCGTAGATAGCCCGTGCAAAAGTACGGAAGTACTTAAAGGCAATGAAAGCGCACATGGCAATGGGAGGCGGTCGCCGCTGGTGACCGGATTTATAATGCATTTTCTCTGAAATAAAGCTGCATTATCGGATAATTCTTAGGAAAACAGCCCCAACACAGCAGGCACAATTGGTTCTCAGAGGAACCAGAAGGCCCTCTAGAGTCATTCCGAGACCTCTTTTAATCATGAATATGGGTCCAATACAATAGTGCTGATGGCAGAAAAGAGCGATCGGGTATAGGTCTAAGCAAATTGCCGGCGATTCACGTGCAAAGACGTGTACGTTTCATAGAGTTTAAAGCGGGCCTGCGGTGCGCATCGGCGGAGTAAAGGAGCAGGTACCGTGGGATTATTGGAGCAGCCCGACTGAATACGGAAACATGCCCTGCCGAGACCCGCCAACACCTCTACCATGCACCTCTCGGTCGCCCTTCGTCCCATAGCAGGCCTGCCTATGTTTGCCTTCGAACGTTCACTTCGTCAAAGAATGTACGTATGACTTCATGCCTTAGACCTGGTGTAAAATGGGCCGACTGTGATGATGCAAGGGCGGCGTAACGTTATGACCTTCGTAGGCCAAGCGATCTCAGCGAAGGCAGGCCTGGGACTTGAGGCCCACTCGAGAAATTGGGGATAGAGAAACGGGATGATTACGACGCGGCCGACGTCGTCTTTCCTATCCGAGAGTAAGCGTTCCTGTGCCATGCAGGTGGGATCCCGCCGATTTCACCCTCGGGAGTCACTATTCTTGTGAGTGCCGATCGATAAAGGGGTCGGGATCCCGATAAATATTGATATATGGGCGGAGATCTCATACTGATCGCCGGTCAGGTGTGCTACCACCGCACCACCGAATCCAGGAGTCAGTCGTCCGTCTCAATGCCATCCCAGACACTACAGTACCTCGGAAAAGTACCCCGGAAGTGAAAATTTTGGGTGGAAACATCGCCCTCGACCTTCCCCTGGATGAAAGAGGAGGCCATGCAAAGTTTGGTTGCTCTGGCTCCTGCGGGGTCCGAATGCATAAAGGAACAGACAAACTTTCTTCTTTATACATAGAGAGATGTTCTACGTGTCTACCGTTATTCTCAATGCGTTTATGTAACCATTTTATCCATACTTGTTGAACGTTTTTAAAGATATCAGGCGCAATTTGAGAACAACCCGCAGTAATTCTTTCTTCGAGATGCTCAAAGTTTCTAATATTTACAGAGAGCACAATACTTTTTAAATGTCCCCAAAAGTAAAAGTCCGATTGTGAAAGATGCGGGGACCTTGGCAGCCTACGGATTAAGCAAATGACAATGTCCGTGAACCAAAAGAGGTCCATGTCTTTTGCTTAATCCTCACTTAATCTGGAAAAAAAAGAATGCAGTATTTGCATTCTCCAAGCACAGTCGAACAAAATGAAGTTTTGACGCGCAGCCTCGGGCTGTATTCCTTTCCATTCTCCGCCCCAATCTATCCCGATGAACGGTGTTATGTCATACAAAAAATAATAATTTATACTTGTGCATTATGTTTTCGGCTGCTGTTGGTAATAAGTTACATGAGGGAGGGAGAGACGGATAACCAAAACGACTTCGTTGCAACTCGAGGCAGGCAGCCTCGTTTTCCGACATTCAGTCGGGGAGCCGAGGCCAAGTATCTGGAGACTCGCCCGCCTGCCGATCGGTGTGTAAGCGAGGCCCGCTTTGTGGTTGTCCCCCCCCCCCCCCCCTTCCCTCACGTAATCCTCATCAAGAAAGTTTTTTCTTCGTGCAATTCTTTGCCTCTTTATCGTCAGATCCTTGTTAACCGAGCCACGGTTCTGCCGTAACGAAGCTCGGACCTCGAATGAAAAGGCAGGAACCGCGGACCATTCCCAGAGTTCATGCAATTCTTCCAGCAATAATTCGGATAGTTCGCAGATCTCCTTCTCATACGGGAAATTGGCAGCAATTTTTTAGCAGAGCATGCACAAAGGACACCATATCCAAGATGGCTCTTAGAACGGAGAAAGATCGGGTACGATTCACGTCTATCATCTACGACAAATGTGAATTATATCAGCATTCCTACGCGTGCGAGCTGGGATTCTTTCGTGGAGAAATTGTCTGGAAAATCTTCGTGCACCCGGAAGACTTGGGATGCAGGTGCGTAGTCTGTAACAAAGGAGAACGAGAAGCAGGAAAAGGAAGCCGACTGGTTTCCGTGGTTCCCCTCGGGTGTCATGTGCCGAAATGGGGAAACGGAGGCGAATTTTGTTCCACAGATAGGGGCTATAGGGGTGGAGGGGGGGGGGGGGGGGGGGGGGGGGCGTCTGGGTTGATCTCATTCACATGATCAAGATATCGAATCGGACTAAATTGAGACGAATCTGGTGTCAGTGGACCCATTGTCAGCGGGGCTTGAATTTCTCGAGGGGGAATCGCAGGAGAAAGGTAGTAAATTCGTTTTTTCATTGATGAGGAAAGAAACTGGGGATTTAACTCCTTTCTTTTTTCTTTTTTTCCCTCCTTTTTTTCCCCCTCATTCCAGCGCTTGACTGGGCATAAATCCCTCCAGGGAGAATTACTGAGAGAACTCATTTCCGAACGAAATCGTTCTTTCAACATTAAGGGGAGGAAAAAAATGGAAAGTCTGGTCTGAGAAAGAGGTTTTAGCGACCGCATTCCCATGAATAATTTCAGATTCTCTGATGAATTCTTTTCGAGAGAAAAAAAAATCTGTCGCATTACTTTTTTATCAACTCTCTTATAAATTACTGAGGACATCGTGCTAATGCGCGCTGATGAGCGTCATCCTTTAAGGAAACTTCAGGATGCACGATGCATCCGGGAGTTTCCTTTAACCCTTTCAGTCAAAAGCCGGAAGTTCTGCATTTTGTCGCACATTTTTCAGGGCTATATTGGAACGCACGACCTTGAGGTGGAACTTCTGAGTCCCTACAAAATAAGTATTTTTTGCGGTCAGTGACGTTTCATTGTGGACGGTTGAATGAGGAAAATTCGTTCTTTTATATCATTTACACCTTTTAAATTCGGGACTGAAAGGGTTAAAGTGCATCCGTGAGCGACACGGAGTCTCGAACGTCTCCCAGCGAATGAAACCAGAGAAAGAAATGCGTACCGGTGTTATTGCAGAAAACAGGGAAAATTCAATAGGAACAAGTATCGATGGAAATCAAATACGCAATCTCGTCACAAAACAGGGCCCGAATTTTTCTTCCCCTTGAATTTCTTGCACACGGGGTCAAAAAGAGGATCCTCTTGAATTTCACCACGAATCTCCTTTCCTTGCAATTCTTTACCATAATTGCTGAGAGCTCCCAAAGCAGTTCCTGATTCCATGAGATACTCTATAGATTTCCCACGATGAGTCCCGTGTTAGTCTTGTTACGTAAAAGATGTAAAAGTCGCCCTGTTGCCTCGTAAAGGATAAGAGGCAACAGGGCGACTTGCGTTCTGTTGCCCTTGAAGGGGCAACAGAACGCAGCGTGCGGGGTTGTGCATCATTATCCTTTTTTTCTTCTGTTCCATCGAATAAACAAAGTGATGAGATATATTAATACAACAAAAGCCAATTATTCCATTAGAATTAAATTCGTCTCAAGAACATATTGAAACTCTTCTGTTAGGAACAGTCGCGCCATCTTAGGCCTATAGAGGATGCGCGCGCGCGTGTGTGTATGTGAGTGTGTGTATGTGAGTGTGTGTATGTGAGTGTGTGTGTGTGTGTGTGCGTATGAGAATGTGTGTGGGTGTGCAAATATGAGGAAATGAAAAGGTTGCCTTGGAAAGTCGGAATCGGTCTCCATTTTAAATAAAGGAATTCTTCGGAGTCAGGAAAAGTCAAGAGGAAGGAAAAAAGCGGGAATTTTGCAGACGAATGGAACACTTAAATCAGTATGAGAGCTGGAGAACTCTATGAACAAGGTCTTTTCTTGGAATAGTGTATTAATGATCTCATGAATGCGCGAAAGCTAAACATTAATTGAATAAACGAGGAAGTCCTAATCGTTGGCGAGGAAATGAGGATGCTTCAGATTGGATTCACGATTAAATTTAATACTTTCCTTCGCAGCGGTTCTAATAAACTGTCACTCCTTCATTCAATCGTGCTTCTCTTCCTAACGTGGCTAATTAATTTCTTACCACTTTCGTCTTTTCAAGCATCTCGTATTTTCGCCCGTTTTCTTTGTGATTCGGATTTTCAAAGAGTTAGAATTCAACTCCTTCCCCCGACGTTGTCCGAAATCATCCCGAATGATTCAAACTTTAAAATCACGGGACGATACACTTATTTTATTCAAAGTTTTGTACCTAGAATCAAGCACCCAGGAACTAGATTATTCGATAGCACCACTGAATTCATATATGCAAAGGTAAGATCACAGGGATGATGATAGTGAAAATAGGAGTTACGAAGGCCTGGAAGGCACGTTTAGAGCATCCGGTCTGATGTTGAGGAAGGAAGGCGGGAGTGGGGGCAATCCGGAGGGCACACCAGGTGGCACCACGGGACAAGGAAACGGACTGCTCCCACCCACAGGTGGCACGCTGAAGAACCTGAAACGAAAGGAAAAGGAATTCTTAATGTCACCATACAGTTCACGGGTTCAGAAGGACAAAGGAAAAGGGGAGGGGAGGGGGGGGAAACCATTGAAGAACTGAGGCAGTACATGTGCGCACCCTAGGTGATGAAAGAGGAACTGCCACGTGCATCCTTTTCTACACAGAGGGCAACTTGGCTTAATACCCCATAAAGTGCATCCTTGAACATTATTGCGCGCCACCCTACCATTTATATGCAAAACTATTCTCACACAGTCTTCTGCCCGATTTCACCCGACCGAAAAGTCGTCTGTGATCCATCTTTGTGAATGACCTGGGAAGTTCTCGCATGAGAGCACACCAGACAGCTTCTCACGCAGACGCGATGAAAGGAAGCCTCCGCCTTCCGAGAATGGCCTAAATGGCTCTGCTATCGATCCGGAGAGCCGATTTTCCCTTGTATCTCGAAACCGATCCGCATATTCATATGTAGCCCTAGTGCCAGAGAAGGTTTCCCGTCGGAAGCACGATTTTCATGCCATGCGCCGAGCCGAACAGCTCCGTCTTTCCATCAACGAACCTTAAAAGTCATAGCAATTGCCACGGAGAGAGAGATGAGGTGAAAGACGGATATCGGAAAGACTCCTGCGGTCGGACGCAAAATTTCTTTACTTCACGCTCAAATACGAATCGGAATATCATCGTCGAGTATTATGGCAGCTATTTGAAAGCACTCCTTTCATGAAAGTTGCCTTTCCGCATAAAACACGAATCGATACCGCATTAAATAATGCCAGAGATACCTAGGGAAATAGAACTACACCTGGCACCCGAAATAATACAGAAAAAAAGTTAATTAGTCATTGACTTTTCATACACCCTGCCTATCTCTCATCATATATTTCACTATGGCACACCGAAATGAGTTGCACGGAACAAAAGCACCCGATGTAATCGAATGCATGAGGAAGGGATCGAGACACGGAGGAAGATGAGTAACCGCAAGCGATTTTTTTCTTTCTCTCTCTCCCTATCTCTGTCCCTCTTTCCTCCTTCTGTATAATGCGGGTTCAATCGATAAGAGCGATCGCGGTAGCTCGGGGTCCATGCCACCTTGCTCGGCAGCCTTTTCTCGTACTGTATAACCTTTTCCTTTCGTCGAGGGCCCAGCGGACGGACAAACGAATGCGTGAAGCGCGGACGGGGACAAACGACAAGAGATAGTCGTCGAGGAATGATGGAGGATGGATGGACGCTTTCATACCAGAGTCGGTCGCCGATGAACATGGGCCTCGGGGTAATGATCCCTAGCGATGCGTAATATTGATGAGCCACTACTTCCAGCTCGTTCGTGTATTTCCGCTTCCATTTTGTCCGTCGGTTCTGGAACCAGATCTTGATCTGATGAAGATAAAATACATACATGAACTAGTTGACTGTAAGCAGATATTATAAACATTTTTTCTGACCACGTAAATCGAGCGAAACTATGCGACAGCTCATCAGGAATGAGAAATTATTCTTACTTGGGTTTCGGTGAGTTTGAGGGCCTTGGAGAGTTGAATCCTCTTGGACACGGAGAGGTATTTGTTTCTCTCGAATTCTGCCTCAAGAGTTTTGATCTGGGAAGCCGTGAACGCCGTCCGCGGCCTCTTCTTCCTCTCCCCGTCCCTCGAGGTCCCCCCGCCGCCGTCTGCACGTTCAAAGGGAAGCGGAAAATCGTTTGCAATGATTCTGGGTGATCGAGTGTAAATCTGGTCTAGTTTTCGGGGTTATCACGCTCGTACTAGTCGATCTGGGCAAGTGGCATTGCGATATCTTAGATGGATTTATGCTACTTAAGACGAGGAAATGGAACTAAAATGATCGCTTTCGATCATCGGAGTCTGCCGGCACGAGGGTATGTGGGAGAACGCATTCCAAGCTTCAAATCCTGGATCCTTTTCTTTACAACTTTTCTTTCCTTTCCTGGCTGTAAGCGACTATCGTCTTAGAATTCATGTTGCAATAGTAAAAGCTCATAAGGAGAGTCCAACGTTACTGCAGCTCACGAATGCCATTGGACGGCTGAGAAGTGCCTAACTCATTTAGTCGCGGAAAATGGGTTAAAGATGAGCTGCGCCATTCATTTTCCAAGACAAAGGAATGCTGGATTAAGATGAGAAAGGACAGACCGTGAATCACGGTGAGAGGACAGAAGGAATTTATGACAGTTTCATGCAATATGAGTCCTCAACCCAGGGAGTCTTCAATTGTCCGTGGTTCAGAAGTCCGCAGCACAGTTTCGCCTCAAAATCCCATGGTCGCCTCATGGATCGTAGGCATAATTCCAATTTAAAAAATATATATTCACTGTCCAGATCATAATAAAGTACTGTACCTGATATGACCGTTCTGCAGAGAAAGAGCCTTACTCTGGCAAATAATCGCAATCAATTTATTGCCGATTGTTGTCCTGCGCGTAATGGAGGAAAATCAGGCTTATCATAGCATGGGAACGCTGGAAATGCAAGCGGGTCCACGATCACAGCTAGTCACCTCAATAAAAGGAATGGTTTGAGGGAGCTTCACGAAAGTGATGCCACCAAGCCAAAGCGACTTAGATCACGAATCACGTTCACTCTCTCAGAAATCCTTCCGACTGGGTGAGGCATCTATGGGCCTAGCGGTCCAAAGAAAGTTTGTAAGATGACATTCAGATCATCAACGTAAACAAACGGTCATCCATTACTCAGTTCTTCTTCGAGAATAATATTCATGGCTTTCAGGAAAGTGTGACGCATAGTTGACGACCCTTTCAGCAAAGGGCCTGCTTCGTTTCATGAAAATGTCTTAAAGGTCTCGAAGTGGGGCATTCGTTGGAGAGGTTTTGTACATTCCACACGTGGCTTCAATCTATCAAGTGACTGAATTTTGCGCTGTCTATTTTTGGCATGTTAACCCCTTTTTCATCGGTGGCGTTCTTCAAAGGTTAAGGCTCTGTAGAAACAGTATTTTTTTTTTCACAGCAAACGGGATTAAAGGTGAAACCTCAGGCTTTTCCCACTATCCTTTAGGATTGATTACATTCCAAGGTCAAAGGGCAATCCTTTGATCCATCCCCTCAGAGAAATACCCTTTGACATACAGTAGGAACAACAAGGCCGAGATAAAGGAGCAAGGGGATGCTTATGCTCTGGAAGGATTCTTCCTTGAAGGTGTTAATCTTTCATCAAGAGCATAATGACGAGAGCTACATATAAAAGGGACCCCTAAATAATAGATTCTTGGGAGAAGAGGTTCCGCATAGCACGAAGAAGACTCCTTTCTCTTCCTCTGATAGGAAGCGAACTTGTAAACAGCTACGTGAGATTATTGGGAGGGCTTCCCTTCCTTGCTGGATGCCTAATATATAAAGGGCTGAAAGGCAGAGTGGTCTATCTGCAAAAAAAATTCTTTTATCTAGCTCCATAAGAAAAGAGGTAATATCCCAGTCACCATCTTCTCAGAAGAGGAGTACAAATGATATGCGTAGAAGACCAATTTCTCCCTAACATACCCGTAAATCCCAAACTACGCCCTCGTACCATCTTTAGCGAAGGGGAAAAGGGTATAATGTGCACTATATCAACTATACTTTTCTCGGAAATTTTTTGCAGAAAGACCACTTTGCCTTTCAGCCCTTCATATAGTGCATCTGAATGCGAGATTTGTCAGCGGTTTAGTGTATTGCCAACAGCGATATTTGCACGTGAATTCAGCACATCTTTTCAGGAAGAGGCATCGATGATTTCACAACTTTCAATTCTTCCCCAGTTTAAGGTTTTGAATCAGGAAAAAGTGCCCAGGTGTTGAAAGCATAGGGGAATTCTAAATAGAATAATAGAAATAAGAAAATTCTTTGGATTGATACTCATTGATTCACCTGCTATTCATTGGGAATAAGCTCAAAAACACCAACTGCAAGAGACGACCAGTCCAAAGAATGAACATGAATGGAATAGGAGTTCGACGTAGTCTTAATGAACAGGAAGGTTAGCGCTCGAGTATTTCCTTCACTCCACTTTCAGTTAGGAAAATACTCATGCAGGCATGGTGAATAGCTTCAGCGTGAGCAATGATATTTATATTAACCCCTTAACTGGGAAGTTTTTCATCAAATACTCTTTAACCTATGGGAGGCCAGACGTCAAAAGACGTCTAACCCAGTAAAGGGGTTAAATGTCGTTGTCATTTTTTATGCCTGCCATAGTCTATATAACCAGAATAAGAAAAATAAGAGAAGGTAGGCATATAAATGCGGCAAAAAAATTAATCAGGATCTTCATTGCAGAAACAATACTGATATTGGCATTCCTTCTTGATAAGCACTCTCATATTATATTGTATTCCAGGAATACGCAATTTTTGATCAAAATTGGCTCATATTTTGCATTCCTGACACAACATATTAATAAGAGCATAGGCTGAAGCCAGAAATGCCAAGGCGATTCTTCAGAAGAGGTTTGCTGCCTACGCCATGAAGTGCTTCTCGATTCTACCAGTAAAGGAACATTTAGATCTTAGCCTTCTTGCCCTCCTTTGGTGATAGGCAAAAACAAAAGCTCCTAAGACCTACGGTACCCTTGTCAGCTTTTCGCGGCACCTTTGGTTGCTGTGGAGCGCAGGTTAAGGACCATTGTCTCCAGACCTACTTCGCCCTTGAAATCTTCACACTATTCACCCTTGAAGCCTTGAACCGGATGCGCGTGCGTGTGGGGAAGGGGGAAAGAGGTGTATTTGGGCGAAGCTTCCGTCATTGTTTACTAGGATGCAATCACTTCCAACTACCCTTGAAAATGTATTCCAATAGCAAATAAAAACTGGAATTAGACTTCCGTGAAACAGCAGAGAGGGGAGTGAACGGTCCCGGATCCTTTGCCGGCTCCATCCCCATGCGTCCTCTTCTATTCTCTTTACTCTTGCTCTCTCCTGAACTGAGCCGTGCCCTGTTTGTCTTATAATTAGCTGAAATCCAATGATTAGACAGTGGATCTTACCACCTCTTCAGTGTGTAAACACTTAGAAAAACTGCAACTGCCTTTATAGATTTTGTTCTTCCGAGAAGGGATTCGCTCGAAACGCGGTACGGTACCTCACATTGTTTTGCTGATTCGTGATCACCAGGAGACCTGAATTGGATAGACCATGCGACCAGGAACGACGGTGACGATACTTCTTCCCGTCTTCTCACTGAATTTCACGATCAGCACGATCTCATCTCAAGTATAGTTCTGTTTCGCATCCTTCAGATGACCATACGTAACCGATGGATGACCATACCAGATGTAAGATCTGATCTGCTATCAGAGTTCTCAGCATGAGAACCTGCTATTATTGCTATGCATTATAATCATTGCATGCGATTCCATACAGCAATTGAATGAGACGATTCCATCGGCCAGACGAGATTTACAGAGGGGGTGAATGGACCCGGTGGACGATGCAACTACGAATACCATATAGTGAGGGGGGATAGCTTGAAATTGAATATGTAGATAAATGGTCATTCGTAAGGTAATCAAAATAGAATATAGAAAAATAATATTCGAATGCCATCAACATGGTTCGAGGTCTCGGTTCAGGTCGATACCGGAAGCAACTAGATCCTCAAAGTATGATCGGTATGGCAGAATTTTCGGTTTGGTATATGGAGGGAGGTCTAGGGAGAGGTCAAGGGACGGGTGGGTCATCATTCAAGGTCCAAAAAAAACTTCCACATATCGTTTTTTTACATTCACTCCCCTCAGGAAGAGCAAAGTTTCACAATTTGAGCAATAAAAATATATATACTGTATATATATTTAGCACATTATACCATGCCTCGATGGGTGAACACGTACAGAAGAGGGCAGCCTAAGATTTAGAGTAACGAACTTATTAACAGAAATATCAATCCTGTGAGCACAGAAATCTTCTTCTGTCGTAATAAAAAGAAGAAAAAGTTACTTGAAACAATTCGCTTTAAGTAGCGGAACGGTTGGATAAATCAAGTCGACGGGCCACTGAAGGCTCCCGTTCAATGCCAACTCTACAGTTCGTTCATTGAGATCTCCAGTCTTGGAGATTCAGCTCGGCAGCGACCGATTGCTCTCTGGCAGCGAAGGTGAAAATGACCTTTTCCACCCCCGAGGAGAAAGGGTTAGTGAGTCATATTCGACTTACGGCCTATATAGCTACGCCTATCGTAATATCAGTTATTGGTTTCGTTACTACAGATTATATAAGCACTGGTGAAAGCAACTTTGACATGATATGGAGATGGCCCTCACTCAACCGGCTTTCTACCGCACCTTCACTTTCTTCTATAGCAAGGTTCGCTTCTACATTTATAATTTTTGCTAGTAGAAGATGTACCTATTGGAGTAATCAGACATGACTGAAATCTGCTTTATTTGGCCGTTGTTCATAATTCAATCAAACGATTGAACTAATTGACTTCCGGACTACTTTCTGCGCGCGGAGTAGCATACCAATGATTCTGGTCTCCTGGATTGGAAGAGAGAGGGCATTCCCCCTCGAGGAATTCACATCTAAATTAAAAGAGGACGAGAGAAGCCAAAAGGAAGAAACAAGGCAGTGAGGAGTGAGAGATGAAGCTTTCCTCCCTCGGGAATGAAAGACTTGAGGACTGACATCTACGATGAGGGTTCTCTTTGATGAGGGAAGAGGGAATCTTAGTGATTCCCCCTTGAGAACTTCAAGGTCTGCAGACAGAGAGTTGCCAGATCCGTTAAGTACTAAATCAATCTATAGGAAATAGATGGACTCGGATGAACCGAGCCCATTTCTCAATTAAATCAGTTTCCATGTAACCAATTTTATGCAATAGATTCAGGAGGAAAGATATTAACCATCCTTCTTTTCCTGCTTCACCTCTTCCCTTTTCCAGGATTCACGCTTGCACATGCCTCTCAAGCGAGCGACTTTTCTGAGAATTCCTTCAAGAGAGAACCCCAGCCAGCACACGTATAACTGATTTAACGCTCCTCAGCATAAATTTCCCTATTCCTACTGTCTCTATCTCTCGCCATTCGCAAAGCCACCTTGGAGGAAGCATTCGTTTGTTGGTGCCACTTTATACACACTCGCCCGAAGACTTGCAGATAAATAATTCCTCCGCCAACGGAGAGGAAGACTACAAAGCGGGTTTTCCTTGCAGGATTTCCCCACCTTCAGCCTTAATTTTCGAGCTATACGACAAAGCAACAAATCTACCGCGTGTCTGACAATTCATGACGAGAAGAAGAGATTTGTATGGGTAGGGTGTTGCTTATGTACCTGTGTGAGCAGTCTGAAAAAATAAGGAGGAGACAGAGAAGGAAAGGCGATTTACTGATTTCCCCCTTTTCGCATGTCTGGACATGCATTCCTCATGGGAATTTCCTCTGGGGTAAACTCGAGGAGGAAGACTCACTCGCTGCTCATTCCAGGCCGAAAGGATGATTCTCTCTTCCATTCCAAGCGGCGGGATGGAAGAGAGAATTTGAACTCGATTCCAAGAATCGAGTTCAAATGGTATATTTTAATGGAGGAATTCTAAAAGTTCTAAATAAATAAAAAATTTGAAGAAAAAATTTGAGCGCAATTTGAGCTTTGAAAAAAAAAAGATAAACCTTCCTCGCTGTTCGCCTTATTTATAGGAGAGGGGTAAAGAAACGGCGAAGAAATTAAAGACAAACATTAAACTCATTGTGAAACATGAAAAGAAGAAGAAATAACAGAAGGGAGCAAAGGACCCAGACTTTTTTTTATTATTACCCGTTATCATAAGCCCGGCTCTGATGATTTCACCAAAATTCCGACATCAAAGACGAAGTCTCATACAGTAAATGCTGGTGACACTACAATATGCATAAGTTTTATATCGAAAATCCCATCGAACTTAACCTCCGGAACTTATTATTATTCCTAGTAAAAATAGAGAAATTCGATGGACTTACCGGATTCTGAGTCGGGGTCCTGAGCGGCATCTTTGATCGCATCCGACGCACCTTTCCCGGGATCTTCTCGCGCCAACAGACTATCGATGGAGAAACCCCGAGATTCTGCCATCTCTCTCGCATTTGCAAACTCACTGGGGGACGAAGGAAATTTTGCAACGCAAGATGGGACGGGATGGGCGGGGTAGCAATTAGGGTGCAGGGTGCACGGAATTGGCGGGGCGGTGTGACGTCGTCGTCGACCGTGATGAATGGGGATGTCCTCGTTTTAATGGGGGTTTCAAGAGGAGATATTTCTAGTGTCATTCGAAACCACGCCTGCATGCTTGGGGTCTTCCAGCACTCCTTCCTCCGCTGATGAGCCGATAAATGCACATCCGTGGCAGGAAATTTGGCACAATACCCTAGCTCTGTAACAGGGCCTGTGATTTGTCTGCGCTGGGTAATCCTTTCACTGTGGAATTTCTGCTTGAATTAGTTTTCGGGAATGGGGTGTGCAAAAGTTTCGGTACCTCATGTACTGTATGGAAAGTTTACGGCATGCACATTTTAAGCATGGTATTTCTAAACACATACGAAATTAAGGCTGGAGTCGGCTTGGAATGGTCATCCAATTTTATTGATGAGTTGCATTTGGCTATTTTTATATTGATATTCCCATCGTGGCTGATGCTATGCAAATTTTCAGAGTATTTCAGGCAAGTTTCTGAATTCGATGCACACATTGCCATTGAATCGGTATTTAAAATGCCTAATTAAAGGTATAAATTACAAATAGCCTCCATCACCATGCGTTGCATATGGGCTATGAGCATTTCATTAATTTCATTGCGTAAAAACATTGGCCTACTCGTACAATTTGAGGATTAGAACATCCTTCGAGCATTGTGCTGTTCTGAGGCACCCTGCAGTACTTCCGCCACTATCCATCATGTTACATGAAGCCGAAAGAGTGGCATGTCTCTCGAAGGAGTATCAAAGTGACAGAGAAGACCGAGAGCGGGAGAGAAATATGGCACGAATGATGATGGAAGAAGAGGAGAGGAGTGGCAAGTTTTCCTCTCCACATAACCTGGACCCATCCTGAAAGAAAGTTAATGAGACATGCAACACTAAAGACACCCTCGGTGTCTCGCAAATGGATCCCCATCGCTACCCGACCCTCCCCCCTTTGAAACCCAAGCGACTCCCACAGTCTCTGTTGCTTCCCACCCCTCGTTATTGGACACAGCGGATACATATTGCACGACACTCCTTCCTTTAATTTATCTCATCTAAGCTGCCAACTCAAAGCCTAACCGAATTTGAGATGGATGGCTTTTTATGTGAGACTGATGACTCAATGAGTAAAATGACGGCATGATCCTCTAATTAACTCGTTCCCTACCATGAGTTTTTCCCATGGGATTTTTTGAGGATTTGCTTATATTTTCCACCCATTTGAGCTTGGAAAGTGTTGCCGTAACTTTTCTAGGAAATTATCAGCCCCCAGCATTTTCGTCTGGCCGAGTCGCACATCACAGAAAATGAAGCTGCGAGATTCCTTAATGGGATTTTTTGAGGCAAAACCACGAAGTAGGCCTCTATATATAGTGCAGTGCGACGTAGAAGGAACAACTGCGCATGAGAAGAGCGGCGCTTGGATCGAATACTCATTCGGCCGCCTGTACTTCCGCCGGCTGTATTAGGAAGCTACACAACGAGTGATGGTATCACGTGCCACTTGTATCAGAGTTTCACAGAAAAGCTAAAAGGATCGAGAGTGTTGAAAAACCCCACATGGTTCGTTGATGGAAAACCCAAGACTTCTTGATCCCTTGTTTTAATGAATTCAATCAAGGGCACCGTGAAAGAACAAGGTGATGCACAACATGTTTTGGTGTTGGTATTCAAGAAAGAGATTGTCTCATTTACCCTGAAGAGCCGGTTTACGAGTAACGACAACTTGGTCATCACTGGAATAATGATGACACGTTGTATGCCCACATGTGCGCCATTGGGGCCGAAGGGCTTAAAAGCACTGAGCTCAGTGCTTAAAAGTCATTTTGAGGCATTCTATTTTCCGATCATTCGTGGAATCTCTAATAAGGAGAAAATTTGAGACTGGAATTTCTCGAAAGTTGAGAGATGTAATGTTGAGCTCCAATTACTTTCGATGATATTGGAGGATCTTATTGCCCGTCTTCGTTTACAAGCAAGGTATTACTGCATTAGGTTCAGCTGCAATTCTGAGTAGTTGAAAATTGTTTTGAAACGGTACCACAAATGGAGAACCTCTCCTTCCACTCTCATTAATTAAAATTTAAAGAAATCAATCCAAGTGGTAAGGGTGAGCAACTGGTCCAGTGTCATTTGCATTGACACTGATATTTTGATGTTAATTTTGCTTTTATTATTTTGTAAGTTCAATTAACACGCAGGATATTTTCGGCTGCCTAGGGGGAACCGAAAACAACTCGGTCACAAAAATCAAAACAACAAAAACAACGTCTGGAGTTGTGTAAGCGGAGACGTGTGAGTTTTTCAACAATGCCCATTGCGAATTCCTACCGGTTGTTTGGGTTCATTTGGGCTCATTAGCGGCCTATTAGCTCGGATAACAATAGCTCCCTTGGCCGTCATCTTAAAGGCACCATGTGTTGTTGAAACGGGCTAAGTGTGTAGCTGACGGATTTGCGAGTCGTTCCCTGCCGTGCTAAATTGCCTGATGAAAGCTTCATACCGCTTTTCAACGAGGTGATTCCAATTCTGCTTGCACTATATATTCTTGCTGGAATTCATTCGTCTATTTTAAGTTTCCGTAATTTTCATTGTTATGAATATGTTAGCGAAAAATGAACGAATGAAGTTACACTTGTATTGGGCTTTTACAAGAAAGGATGATGCAAGAGAAGATACAATATGGCAAATAATGTGGCGAAGCTTGGCCTTCACAGCTCCTAAGTCACAGGAACGCGCCAATTTGCATTCCAAGCTGTCTCGAATTTGCGCGAATGGGGAGGAGGTCCAGACGAAAAGGTCATTCCAGGCTATTTCCTGCTGGGAGGGGAGGATCGGCCACTCATTATGGGCTTTCTCTATCATCTCTATGGAAAGATGCAGCCAGAGATAGGGCGTGCGGATGGCGTCACCGTTCCTGTCGCGGGTCTCCGCAGGTCCTGAGAAGACGCCTCTTCTCATCCTCGTTAATTATTCCCATACGAGTCGCAGAGTGGGAGGGGAAGGAGGGAAGGGGGGGGGGGGGGGCCGGAGAGGGAAGGAAGGCCACTGTATACTAAGCATACGTATGCATGGGAGGGGGTAGAGGTTCAGGTTACAAGACAAAGTCTTTTAACCACTATTATCACCGCCCCCTTTCCCAAGGCACGCTCGTTTCCCACGGACTTTCTTCTCTCCAAATCCTGGTTTTTGGGGAAAGTAAACCACTAAATTTGTGTTGAGAGATGCAGTTACAATTCTGACCCCACGGTTGGCACACGCTTGCATAATATCAATAGCAACAAATGAACCAATAAAGATAAGAATATTTAGTTAATCAACTGCGCAAAAATGATATTAAGGATTTAATAAGCAATATCAGAAACCAAATTAAATTATGGACAATGATTGCTCTAATTTTAGGAATGAATAAATACCTCAATTTAACTCATCTCCCTGTACGTATTTTGTAACGTCATCTCGTTACGGGTTGCCACAAAGGCGCACCCATTAAACAGTGCAATAGTCTTAAGTCCTCTCATATGCTCTAAAGCAGGGGTGACCAAAGTTTTGGGTCAGCGGGGTCGCATAGCCTGTAGGGAGCGGGCTCGCGGGCCGCATAACTGGAAAACCTTGCTTTTCTGCCTGGTAAATATTATACCAAATAAAAATATTTTTCCTGGTTTTGACCTAATTCATCTTGCTGTTTCGTCGAAGTGGGCCTCTTTTTTCTTGCCTCTCATCATCCAGCGACGGTGGAAATGGAAACTAACGACGAGATAGGAGTTTTTGACGTGATTCTGAACCAAACTGCCAGGTTTGGTTCAGGCCTGGACTGCCAGGACTGTCGAACCATCATACCCGCGAGAGAATTTAAACCTAGTCGTTCATTCCGTAGCGCTAAAATCGTTCATTCATTTACATCATCATAACAAATTCATTTGTTTTCCAAAACTCCTCGCGGGCCGCACAAAAGCCCTTGGAGTGCCGCATGCGGCCCGCGGGCCGCACTTTGGGCACCCCTGCTCTAAAGGATTTGAGAAATACGAATTAACCCACTATATGCCACCAAATATCGACATCCCTTGGCTATTTTTTTCCCTTCGAGTTCAAAGTTCAAGGTTGGGGTAGGGGCGTCAAGAGGCGTATCCGTCCACTATAACGTCCCGCGTCGAAGTACAGTGTTCATGTATCGGCCTACTCCTTTGAGATATTAATATTTTTGTGGGAGTGTAGTCACTTACTGCCTAGTCGCTTACAGCTACGCCGCCCCATTTTTGTTGTTTTGTCCATGAAGACATCAAACCTCTTTATAGAGCCTTAAAGCTAGTTACGGTAAGGGCAGCCTTTATATAGTCACTGAACGCATTCCACGTGTTCAGTACCCTACAAATAAAGAATTATTGTCGCAACCTGCATTTCACCGGGGGATTACGAGACTTAGGTTGGTTCCCTCTCGTTCTGCTGCTGCCATCGAACTGGAAAAACTTACCATGCCAGGGGTGGGCAAACTATGGTCCTAGGGCCTGATGTGGCCCGCGACAGATTTCAAACGGCCCGCCAGCAGCTGCAAGAAGTTTTTTTTTCTTAATGCGGGCAGTTCCATGTCCCACTAAGATGTCAGTAAGACTTTATTGATACGCATGTTTCAGGCTTCTATGACCTGCAAAGGCTTATGTGTTTTCTCGTGAGATCAGTAAACTAAAAAGTTTGCCCACCACTGTATCACGCTCTACGTTATCAATTCCCTTAAAAATCTTGAATGCATGGATGAGGTACCCTCTCCTTCTCTCGAGTGAGTGCTTCTAAACACTTCTCCTACGGAAGTCCCGTAACCTTGATGATTCTCTAGGCCCGCCTCTGGACCCTCTCGAGCGCCATTAGTTCACCTTTACTTGTAGGTCTTCAAAAATGAACACAATACTCCAA